GCTCCGAAAAGGATTTGCAAGAGGAATAAGTTTGTCGTCAGAGGACCACTTATGACCCACATATGAAGTGGGATAGTTAACTAGGAAACTGCTTTGTTTGCTCTTCTTTGGGTGTAAGAATGGCACCACAGGTCCCCAGTGACCTGCTAGTGCCAGTGTTGGGGCGGTATGCAATCCATCCACAAATCCAGATCAGCAGGAGGCTGCACAAACTTATCTGTGATTATGTGAGTTGTGTTGCATGGTGAGGGATGCCCAAGGTACAGCAGCTTCTCCAACCTGGTGCTCTCCATATGGGAAAAGCAGGAAGTGACCATCAAATGCATCTGTGAGGTGCTGGCATGAGAAGGCTTCCCCTTTCCTCTCCAGCAGACTCAGATGTAACTTTAGAAGCAGCATTCTTCTATTAAAACTTAACAGTATGAATCAAAGCAATGTTCTCCTTGAGAAGTGAGAGCAGCATCTGCCCATGCAAAGAGCTGAATCTGGACTGAAACTTTTGCTCCTCTGCTCCCTCTCAGCAAAGCTTCTGACTCCACCTTTGGGGGACTCATGCTGCTGGCAGGAGCACCAGACTCTCACCCTAACAATTCTGCTTTCTTTGCCTGCTGTGTCCTGCCTGGGTCAAGGAGCCCCTTTGTCATCTCCTCCACCCCGGTTCTGAGGAGTCCCCGTACTTTTCTGAGGTAGGCTAGTTCTCTCACTGCCCGAGAAACGTCACTAGGTAGCCTTGAAATAGCCAAGCCCATGGCTCACTTCACTCTTCCCCTCCTCCTCAAAATTGGACGAATCCGTCTGAGCAGACTGCAGTGTGCAAGAACTGGGCCCCCTTTCTTCAGGCACCAGGTGAGAGTGAGATGACCTAGTGTAAGTTCACATTCAGAACCCATGGGAGAGGCCATTGTTGTCTTTCACAAGCCACAATCTCCAGCTTTTTCACCCATTAACTTTCTGATAGGCCAACTTTTGAGATGACCATGTACCCAAACAACATAAACTTCTCATATTGGAAAAGATATTTCAAATAAACTCGTAAATGTTTAGATGCGGCTGAATTTCAATGCATTGTTCTGTGTCTGCTGTGAGCCATGTATTTCATGAATGTCAGAACCTGAGGCAGGAGGCTTGTAATCATGAAATAACAATGAGATGGGTTGCTAATCACTAGACCTCTTTGCAAATCCTACCTTTCTTGCAATGAAAAATTACTAACAGATGTTGTATGGATCATAAGAAGATCCATGCAATGCAGACTGATCAAGTGCTATGTTCCTAATCTAAATCTCTTGTTGTATGTGCTTATCTTTATAATGGTTATTGTGAAGGTTAATCCGCTTTTCTGTGGAAAAGCCAAGCTCCTTAAGCCAGAGGGTTCCTAGACATGAATGTCAATACCTGTGTCTGATTAATATGGTCAGATGAGGAAATTGGACAAGACTGTCATCATGTCCATGAAAGACTTCCTCCCAAAATGTGTTACACAAGGATTTTTGATGGCAAGCAATATTTTGGTTCCTTAATCACCCCAGGTCAGTCTCATATCCTGATGGGCAAATGCTTCTTGGCTTGATTTGGGATCGGCTCAGTAATTATGAGCTTTTCCAGAGAGGAGCTTTTAAAAACTGCTTCTCTCCTTTCCCAAAGTCCCTGAATGGTAATATGGATTATTTATGAACTTTGTGTGCTTTGTTTCCAACTGTCATGTGTTCACCTTAGATAATGGTGAGCCACCTAGAAATTCTCAACACATACAGTCTCCGAGAAGGGGACAGTTTCAGCGCACTATATAATGATGAGCTAGGCAAAGGGTGGGAAACCTTTTCAGGTTCACGTTTGTCCCCTTTCCTTCCAGGCCCATGGGTGGGAGAGAATCTCCTCCTTCCTTCCTCTCACCCCCTCTGCTTCCTCTTTGTTGCTTCCCCACCTCTGGATTTCTCTCTCACACCTGTTGGCCTTCTCTCACGTCTACCACTTGCTGCCCCCAGTGCTTCTGCCTGCCAGTCCCTCCCTCTATATGGTGCTTATCCCAGCTCCCCCTGCCAGCCCACATGCCCACCTACTGGCTGCTGCCACCTCTACTTCTGCTGTACAGGGGCCACTTCTGCTCCCTCAATGCAAGGAAGAAAATCAGGCTGCAAGTCTCCCAACTTCCTGCTTCCTGGCAGCAGAGGTGAGCAGCAAGCAAGCAGCCGGGAAGACGTGGTGCTCTAGCAGCAGAAGGTGATGAGATCCAGGCAGTTGTTGCATTCCTGAGGTATGAACTAGCCATTTGTTTTAGAGGACAGCTCTTGGGTGTGGTATGCATTTTGATTTTTTTATTTATTACTTCCCGTGCATGCCACACAGTTCAAATTAATTCTAGCCCCCCACCCTCCAACCTCAGTGAGTTTAACTTTTGAGTAAGCAGTCTCAGATTCCAGCCCTTCTGCATTTATATTCCCCTTTCCTCCAAGGAGCTCCTGGTTGCGTGTATAGCTCTTTGCCTCCTGCTGCTCCTTCCATAGCGGCTCTCTGAGGTAGGTCAGACTAAGAGGTCGTGACTGGCACAAGATCATCCGTGGCACCATACCATTGTGACATCACATCACATCAGCATTCCATGGTACCACATCAGCTTTTCAATGGGGCTTTGCCACTGCTGCTGCTGCTACAAAATCCTTTCGTGTGTTACCATGCACAGTTTATTAGTCAGGTTCTGCCTCTATTACTTGATTGCTATGAGGGACTTTAGAGGTGGCTGAATGGGGCAAGGAAGGTAGCAGAGATAAATGGCTGAATCTCACAGAATGATTTGAATCCAAAACATTAAGTTTAGAGCACTGACACACAGAATATTTGAAATATAATTTTCAGCTACACAGGCTAGAGCTGTACCCAAAAACCAGAACTGAATCATTTCAAACTTCAGAACAATTTCCAGATGTGCAGGATAAATCTGCTCATGAAGATAGTGAAAGAAGAATATGGATAAGCAGGATTGAAGCTGAATATTATGGAACAAAATCATGACTACAGAAGAATTACCCAACTGTATTGTTAACAGTTGCCCAGTCATCAGTTCAAATGAAGAGTGTGGAGAAGACATTTGAAGAAGACTGAGACTTGGAGTGGCAGTCATGAAAAAACTAAAAAAGATGACCAAGTGGAAGGATAATTTACTGGAGTCCAAAACCAAGATCTTCCATGCTGTTGTATACTTATGTTTGGGTCTGGAAGCTGGGCAGTGAAGAAAGGAAGCAAATGGATGCATTCAAAGCATGGTGATGGACCCTGGATCAACAGAAAGGCAAACAAGTGGGTCCCAGATCAAATCAAACCAGAGTTTTCCTTACAAGCAAAAATAGCAAAACTGAGCCTTGTCATACTTTGAGTGCATTGAGAGAAGGCAGAACTCCCTAGAAAAGCCAACCATGATAGGGAAACTTGAAGGCAGAAGAAAAGGAAGCCCAAATATGAGATGGATTGATTCCATAAAGGAAACCACAGCCTTCAGTATACAAGAGCTGAGCAGGACTGCCATGCATAAGACATTATGGTGGGCTTTCATTTATAGGGTCACATAGTTGGAGATGATTTAATAGCAAACAACAAGAGAATGAAGTTCTGACAGTTATTTATTTATGCTTTTGATAGGCATTCTGCTGCTCAGGGTTATGCTGTACAGTCTGTTCCCTGCAGGGTTGTGGTCCCCTTGAAAGATCTGGTTCAAAGCTTTTCACCAGCTTTGATCAGTGCATGAAATGAAACCCTTTCTGGACAGAAACAGTTTGCCATGTGAATGTGCTATTTGTCTTCCTGAGTCTGAAGACTGTCCAGAGCCTACAGTTGTAACCTGGTAACTGGGACCAACCACTGGGAGTAGACCTCACCAGTCCTTAACAAATGTTGTTGTTGTTGTTGTTAGTCACAAAGTCGTGTCTGAACCATCACAACCCCATGGATAACATTCCTCCAGGCCTTCCTGTCCTCCACCATCCCCCGGAGTCCACTTAAGCTCGCACCAACTGGTGCCCCCTTCTTCTTTTGCCACCAATTCTTCCCAGCATTAGGCTCTTCCCCATTGAGTCCTTCCTTCTCATTAGGTGGCCAAAGTATTTGAGTTGACACCACTTCAAATAGTACCATGTGTGTGCGTGATGGTCTCGAGGTGAAGGCCAGGGTGCTCAAAGGTGAAGCATTGCCCGCATATGCATCAGCCTGCCTGTACATGACGCTCATCCTTGGAGGGGTTGCAGGCCAATGAGCTGCTGCTTGTGCCGGTTGAGGAGAGCACCTTCTCAGTGGGTGTTCCACCTCCAGAATGCTTTCCCCAAGAAGGCTTGCTTAGTTCCTGTGTTGTCTTCTCAGTTCTCCTAGTCTTTTAAGAAATAGACTGCTTTTCTACTGTTGTTCAATTTCAGGGTTTGTTGTGCTTTTTTGTTCTATTTTTATGATGCTATTTCTGTTTCATATAAACAGGCCTGAAAAAATATTGGAAAGGTATAAATAAAAACCAATTATTCTGTCAGTCTTGTACATCTGTTCTGTAAATTTTCACTGACTTAGTTTAAGGAACAGAAAGATGGTCCCAGATTTCACATCCCAGATTTCATATCCCAGATTTGTCGCTCACCTAAATATAAAAATATAACCCATAATTTATCCCTGGAAAGGAAGACATGGACTTAAAGTTTAGGATATCTATGTGATCCATGAAACTGTATAGAAGAATCTGATGCTTGATCAATTGATATGATGGGTTTGTTTTTTATTTTTCTGTTTGTTTATTTTATTTAAAATGAATAAAAATATATAGCAGAATTTGTCCGTGCTTTTCTTGCTAAGCCACAGGCCTTTTCCTATTTATCCTTTCTTTGGTGTGGTTCCCAGGGAATGTGATGTGGTGCATGCACAGGATTGCACTATACTCTGGGCTAGAATTTTCTGATGTGGTCACACATTATCATCTCTTGGTCAAATGGTTTTAACACATGTGTTTTTCCCTCTTCTCTTTGATACAGAGATCTTGAATGGAGGAGTATATGTTGGACAGAACAGATTTCTTTGCTATGCAGACACTATTCAGTGGGAAGATATTGTTCGTCACCCTTTGGCTTCCAACTTCTCTGTGGTTCCGAAAAACAGTAGTGCAGATTGTAAGTATCGGCTATGGGATCTCCTCTGTGATAGCAGTGGGAGAACCAGGATGTTTACACTTGCTTGAATTCCCCAAACCCATTTCAAAGCCCACACCTATTCTCATTTGGGACCTGCTTTGCTCAGGTGTGTCAAAAAGGGAAAGTTTTGATTAGAGAAAGGGTGGGTGGGATGGCTGGCTGGCTGGTTTTCTAAAAGTGTGCATTTCTCCCCTGCCCTTGCCTAAAATATGAACATGTATAAAATATGCAGTTTTAAGTTTTTCAGCTTTTTGTTAAAAATACAGTTTCATGAGAATATGAATGTTTTTAAAACTGTGCGTTTTTAAAGTGCACATTTCTCAAATACATATCCCTGGACAATATGTTGGAAAATTAAGCGACACCGCAATCCTGTAGCCATTAGACACTATCTAGGCAGCCATAGGGTGCTTCAGAGACTCAGGTACAAGGTCAGAAAGTTGCAGCAGCTAGAAAGAAATGTTTTGGCTGCTCATATCATCCAGCTGCTAACAGTGACCTTGGAGAAGGGGGTGTTCTGAAGGGCAAAGGTCAGTGCTGCCACAATATGAGGCATCCTGGTGGTTCCTTAATCTCCTTCCCTCCTTCTTTAAGGCACCACACTTAGAGAGCCAAAATGGATATCTAAGTGCTTTGCAGGGCTGAAGGAGCACATGAGCCTCTACTTTAGAAGGCTGTGGTTGCTTTATTGGATTGCACCCTAAATGAATCTGGAAGGACAAAAGTAATTTGGAATTGGATCTTCCAGAGATGGGTTAAGAATATTCTAAGATAAGAATATCTATTACCTAATTATGAGTTGGGATGGGTGGCTCAGTCCATTTCCAGTTTGTGTTAATTTTGCATGTGTTCACTCCATCCTGTCCCATTTCAGCATTAATCTGCAAATTTGGATGTGGGGAGGACTCTGCACAGAAATGGATGTTTAAATACATAGTTAAATCTCTACTTTTAACATATTTTCTCACAGACTGCACTTTCAAATACATTTTGGCTAAAAATATACTTTCTACAATGCATTTGAGGAAGTATTTTGACCTGAGAATTGCACTGAAAAATTCCAAGAAATACTTTGATCCTCACATTAGTCCAGGAGGTACAGATCATGTCAATTTACATTACATGGGAATTCACAAAGGCTGAATTCCTCAAGCATCTCTAAGATGCAAATGCATCAGAAACATCACATTTCAAAGGCACATTCTATTGCAATTGTGGTTTATAGTATCTTACAAATGGATGCCAACCTTTTTTGTTGTATTGTTCTCCATCCCTTCCCAAATTCTATCCTAATAAGGTCATTTTGCAAGGCACTCCAAATCCTCTTGAAGCAGTCTTTGAATTTCTATTGGATCTTCTGGAAGAGGTCTCTTGTTTTTCCTCTTTTGTCCCTCTTTTCTATTTTTTGCACTGATCATTGCAATAATTCTTTTTGTCTCTACGTGATAGTCACTGAGAAGTTGCATTCATGATACTGATCCTATTTTTGCCACCTTTTGCTTCTCCCCTGTCCTTAGCCACTGTATTCTGTCATCTATCTAGATTTTTTCTTTCTTGTTATGACAGGAATTGTCTTTTGACATTCTTCTCTAATATTTTCTCCAGTCTCAATCCACAGTCCTTCTGATTTGTGGTCAATTAAGTTGAGCAATGAAAATCTGTTCTTTAGATAGACTTTAAATTCTTCGGGGATGTTACTTAAGTTATATTTTGGCACCATGTTTCTGTTGGTGACCTTTTTTAGTTTGACTCTGTTGATAGTTTTTCCATCAATGTTGGTAGGTTTTCAACTAATTTTGATTGCTATCATTCAGTTGAATTTGCATGGTAGCCCCTTACTGCCTGTACTACATCTTGCTTCTGTATTTGAGGCAAACTCACTCCATTTCTTCTGAGTTTGTCATTTCCAGAGTGAGACACTTTGTGTTTGTCTGAGTGGAAATGTCCCATTTCAGTCCACTTTAGTTCACTCACACCAAGTACTGCTATGTTCATTCTTACCATTTATTGCTTTACAACTTCCAGTTTACCTTGATTCATACTTCTCATGTGCCATGTCCCAGTTGAATGTGTTGTATAGCATTGGATATTTCTTTCACCTCTGTGCATATCAACTATTAGGCGTCCTTTCAGTTTTGATCTAGTAGCATCATTAGTGACAGCACTACCAGAATTTGCTCTTCCCCAGTAGCTCATAAAGTGACTTCCAACATGGGGGGGGGGGGGTCTCATCTTCTGGAACAATCTTTTGCTTTATTTTGGATTCATAGGATTTCCAAAGTGAGAAAGTTCTGGAGTGGTTTACCACATCCTCCTCCTGCACAATTCTAGTCAGCATTATCATTGCCATTGTCTGCAAAAGATGCTCCACCAGTGTCATCTTCAGGTACTGCTGTTGCCCACTAGCTACCTTTGAGAAGTTTCTCTGGCCCCATCACCATTAATACGATCCATTCTCTTTTTGCTGATGTGACTTTTACTCATGAAGATGCATGCATCCTACACTGTTCTGCCTTGGGCGACCCTGCTAGCAGAGCAGCCTAGGGAGAGAACCTGGCCTCCGGCTAGCATTGTTCTTAACTTGTTTGACACTCTCAAATCTGCTCACCATGTTGAAGTATGCATCCAAGAGCAGGCAAAAACTAGTAACAACCAACTAAACAGGGCAGTTATGAAGACTGCAATAATGCAAACCAATATGTAAATAGGGTTTATTATGGGGGTTCTTCTCTTTTCCCTGTCCTCAGATAATTACCAGGTCTAGCACTTGGACTGCAGGAAAATGCTTCTTCATGGCTATATCATAAGCAACGTACAAAAAGTCTATGTTTCAGTGAAAGGGCAATAGAGAACAGGGGAAGAAAAAGAGGCAATGCCACTCTGTATAAAAGAGCTCAATGTTATTATAGTCAGTTAATGGCCATATTGGATTTCCAAAAGCTCCTAAGTGGTTTAGCAGTACACAACCCATTGAAAATCAATGGAACATATGATCTTAACTTACTTGCAGTATTTGTGATAATCTTGCCTTTAGAGCTTGACATCCCAATTTCAGTTCCTCCTGATTACCCAAATCAATGGTTAATGTTGAGACATCTCTATCAAAGTGAGCAGGCTAAGCCTCTAAGATAGTGAACACCAATCATTCTCTTTGATTCTGTAGAACCTCTGGATGTTCACTGCTGAAGAGCAGAAGCTCCCAAACTGAAGTCACATATATTAGGGATTTACGCTGAACAGGTCACTTCAGACTGTCTCTAGTGCTTCCTGAGCAAAGGAGACCTCCCTGCAAAGTAGCCAGAAATGACTTTGGGCCAGAATGACCCTTCAGTGATCCTCAATGACTAGTTGAGAGTTTAAAAGGCTGTCTTTTGAAGCTTTCCTTGGTCATTGTTATTTGGTTTTCCATTGGCAAAGAGCTTAGCTATATTGACAAGCAGAAGAATGTTTTTGGTCCCTTCTTTTAGTCTTGGTTCTTACTCTGATTCCTCTTTTCTTATTCCTTCTCTCCATTCCTTCTTCTACACTTCAGTTTCTTAGACTCACTAGAAGAATAGTAGAGTTGGGACCAGTAAAACCATTGGGTTCAACCCCCTGCTCAAGGCAGGACTCCAAGATAAAGCATCCCTAACTGCTGCATCTTGCATGCCTTGAGTGTGGGGGAACCCACAACCACCCCTGGCATCTGGTTCCATTGTTGTATTGCACTAACAGCCAGAACCCGGGTGTCCTGTAATCTGAGTCCCTCATTCCATGTCTTGTGCTCTTGGATGATTGAGAAGAGATCCCGGCCCCTCTGTGTGACAACATTTCAAATACTTAGAGACTGCTATCATATCTCACCTCAGACCTGCCTTCAAGGCTAAAAATGCCCAGTTCTTCCAGTCTCTCCTCACAGGGCTTTGTTTACAGTCTCCTGATCGCCTTTGTTACACCCTCTGAAGTTTTTCCAGTTTGGCTGCTCTCTGATGTCCAGAACTGGATACAGTACACATGAGGAGTCCTAACCAGGGGAAGTGACCCAGTACTTTGCATGATTTGGAAGTGATATTTCTATTTAATGCACCCTGAAATAGCAATTTCTTTTACATCAACATCACATTATTTACTCATATTCAGCTTGTGATCTACAAGATCCTTCTTACCTGAAGTATGCTTGAGCCAAGCATCCCCATCTTGTAACTGTGTGTTTGGTTTATTTTTCCTAGGTGCAGAACTTGGCATTTGTCTCTGTTAAGTTTCATTCTGTAGTTTTTGGCCCAGAGCAGCAACCTCCCAAGAACACTCTGAATTGTATTTCTGCCTTCCAAGGCATCAGCTATCCCACCAAATTTTGTCTTATCTACAAATTTGGTAAGAATTCCCTATACATCCTCATCCATATCATTAATAAAAATGTTGAAGAGCACTGAACCTGCCATACTTCACTCATTACCTCTTCCTACTTGGAGAAGATGCCATTGAGAAATACTCTTTGAGGTCAATTTTGTAGCCAGCTGTGAATCCATCTGATAATTGTTCAGTCTAGCTGATTTTTAGTTAGTTTGCTAATCGGGAAATTATGGGGCATTTTATCAAACATTTTGCTGAAGTCCAGATATAGTATGTCCACAGCATTCCTGCAGTCCACCAGAGAGGTTACCAGATCAAAAAATGAGAGCAGGTTAGTCAGTCATGCTTTGTTCTTGACAAATGCATGTTGGCTTCCAGTAATCACTGCATGGTTTCCAAGGTGCTTGCAGACTGACTGCTTTACCAGGTTTGATGTAAGATGGATGGTCTGTAGTTCCCAGGGCCCTTCTCTTTCCCCTTTTGGAAGGCAAGGACAGCATTGATCCTCCTCCAGTCTTATGACACTTCATGATTTCTCATGAAGTAGTTCTGAGAATGGTTCTGAGAGTTCGTTTGCCTGTTCCTTTATTATTATTTAATGTTATTTATTATCCTAGAATGAAGTCCGTCAGGTCCTGAGGTACTCC